CCTCCAAGAACTACACAGAATAAGAAGCAGGTAAGCAGAATTAGTGTTAGGTCCCTGACGTGCATCTAACATGGGGCTTCATGGCGTCTATTCCACTGGACTGAAGCGTCTCGGATACTTCAAAGCATTTTTATTTCAACTTTCTCTGCCAGCAGCTGACACACAGGATATAGGCAATGGGCATGAGGCACCGGGGGTGGTGATACACTGTTCAAATCATATGTGCTTACACAAGTCAGCATAATAGGCCTTATAACAACAAGAAACACCAAACTCATTTCAACATGTGCTAACCCTGCGTATGTACATTTTCGGGGAGGAATCGCTGGATTTCAGTTAAGGCTGAAAGTTCTCTCTTGTGTTGTTCCCCTGCTCTTTTCCTCCTCTGGGATCAGCACAGATTCAGCATCCATCCTAGGGCCTTTGTGGTTGGTATCTACATATTGCCCTAACCAACTGAAACATTGGGGGATTCTTTATAAAACATGAAGCTTTATTGTTGAAAGATCTGTTCACACTGGTGAATTATGAACATGGGGTGCAGCACTGTTACTTGTGATGGCCACAATATACTTAATCAAAAGCAAAGACTTTGCTGAAACATTTCCAGCACAAATGTAACTCAGCAATGACTGCATTGAAAAGAGACTGTTTGTCGATCCTCCACCTCCCTCTTTCAGTCTATCCTCCCCGCAGCATAACACATCTGAAATCAGTGCCATTGGGAACCAATTCCCCATAGGACTATTGCTATGGATACCTACTGCATTTTTCCTGAAGCTGTTCTACTAATGAAGTCTTCTGTTGCAGCTGAGTGGAACAGCTCAAGTGATATACTGAGAGAAAACAATAAGTGCAGTTGGTTCCTATTCATTTGCTATACTCAACTGATTAGTGTTTTGCTTTCAATGTTTTGTTGTGTACTTGTAACCATTCTGTAACCCTCTGGGAATGAGAGACAATGCTGGAGAATCCGAGACAACAAGGTGCAGGGCTGGATGAACACAGCAGGCCAAGCAGCATTATAGGAGCAGAGAGGCTGACGTTTCGGGCCTCGACCCTTCATCAGAAAAGGGGGAGGGGAAGGGGGGTTCCGAAATAAATAGGGAGAGAGTGGGAGGCGGATAGAAGAGGGATAGAGGAGAGGATAGGTGGAGAGGAAACAGACAGGTCGAAGAGGCGGGGATGGAGCCAGTAAAGGTGAGTGTAGGTAGGGAGTTAGGAAGGGTCCCAGTCGCGAACCATTTCAACTCCCCCTCCCATTCCTCAGACGATATGTCCATCCTGGGCCTCCTACAGTGCCACAACGATGCCACCCGAAGGTTGCAGGAACAGCAACTCGTATTCCGCTTGGGAACCCTGCAGCCCAATGGTATCAATGTGGATTTCACAAGTTTCAAAATCTCCCCTCCCCCTACCGCATCCCAAAACCAGTCCAGCTCGTCCCTGCCTCCCTAACCTGTTCTTCCTCCCACCTATCCCCTCCTCCCACCTCAAGCCGCACCTCCATCTCCTACCGACCAACCTCATCCCGCCCGTCCTCCCTGGACTGACCTATCCCCATTCCTAACTCCCTACCTACACTCACCTTTACTGGCTCCATCCCCGCCTCTTCGACCTGTTTGTTTCCTCTCCTCTATCCGCCTCCCACTCTCTCCCTATTTATTTCGGAACCCCCTTCCCCTCCCCCTTTTCTGTTGAAGGGTCTAGGCCCGAAACGTCAGCCTCGCTGCTCCTATGATGCTGCTTGGCCTGCTGTGTTCATCCAGCCCTGCACCTTGTTGTCTCGGATTTACTTGGTGCCAGTTACCATGACTTCAACTTCTAAACCTGTAGTTAAATTGTAACTGAATAATAATCAGCCTGGTACCTACAGTTCTGGTAAGAGTTTCAGGATATCAGGTCTGAATACAGCATGTGGGTAGAAACTGAACTCATTCAAGAGAAATTTGCACTTCTTCATTGTAACTGGAGTGCTGCAGTGAATAAATTTGAACATGATAGAAATTCAGACAAGTGTCTTGATTACCCATATATATGCAATATTGAGTTTCTCCACCCAGTTTGTCAGTGCAGACTTGATGGGCCAAAGGGCCTTTTCTGTGCTGTATGAATTTGAATTAACCATTATTCCCTCCCCTCTACTTCAAGTTTGCTGCGTACTAATTCTCAATAAACGACTGTTTTCAGCATTGCTCACGGCTGCATAAGAGATGGCCTTATGTTATTTGCTGTCTGATTTTTGTTTTTCTCTTTGCTTTGTTTCTCTCAACGAAAGCAGTCAGACACTTGGTTACTCAGACCTTGGGCATAGAACATAGTGTTGTCTGCAAAGCCACTGCCCTGCCTTGTGATTATTAGAAAAGCACTTCGTCATTGTTTTTTATTTTCAGAAAATTGCTGAGTCTTTTTCTTGTACTTTTTTGAGTTTTGGTTTGACTGGATGTTAATTTCTGGAAATAAATTAAGGGAACTGGATAATGGAACGCTTCAGCATCATAACTAGTCCAGAACACACTGCACTATGGTTACTTTTGAAATCAATAAATCTGATTGGAAGGTGTCTTCTAATTTCTGTCAAAAGCCATTTTGTTTTCCTTTTGGTACTGAGAATTAGTGTAATTTGGAGTGCACGTTTTGCTGTTGAGGAACAGATTGAGACTGCGCTATTCTACTTCACAGGCTTTTGGTCCAGTAGTGTGGAGACTTTTTGATTGTATGAGGCCTGAGTTGGATTGGTGTGTTTTCATGAGGATTTATTGTCTTACAGGAGCCAAGAACTCCCTCAATAGTGCAATCTCAACCAATGGTGAGCGTGAAAGAAGAGAAGAGTCACTCTTCACCGGCAATCCGAAATGAGGCATTTAGCCCTTCAGTGCGCCAGGAATCATCAAAGCAGAGGGAGGGAAGCAAACCACCTCCGCACCTTGGACACAGTAAGTAAACTCATTGGAGCTCACATGGCACTCGAGGCAGGGAATTTGTTAGATGTTTTACATATAAATTTTCCTCAGAACAGGGGAATAAAGCCTTAGAATTAGAGCAAGTCTGTTCAGAAGTCATGTTAAAGGCACCGTTTCCCACATAGTGGAAATCTGAGTAATTTTCCTCAAAGGCTGTTGAGGCTGGACATCGTACAAGCATAGGTTTTGGAATTTCAATTTGGTTTTGCGCAGTGAGCAAGGGGAGACCAGTGCGAGTGAATGAATTTAAGATGCAGATGAGACATGATCCATTTGAATTGCAGAACATGTGTAGAAGGTGAATAGTCTTTTCTTGCTGTTCTGTCTCAGTGCCCGAACTCATGTTTATCACTCAAATATCGCTGCTTGGTCATTCCTTTCGATGTTTATGGGACATTTGTCTCATGAAATAAAAGTGAAATACTGTTGATGCTGGAGATCTGAAATAAAAACAGGAAGTGTTGGAGAAACTCAGCAAGTCTGGCGGCATCTATGGAGAGAGAAACAGAGATAATGGTTTGAGTCCAGTGATTGTTTGGAACTGAGCGGGCCTAGAAAATGGTTTTTGGATTGTTGCCAAAGGGAGAGGAGGAGCATGTGGACTGATGGTGGGGTTGCATAGAGCAAAAGAGAATCCTTATCGTAGGAGACGATAATAGACACAAAATGGATGTAATAGATAATAGGTCACCTTTGTTGAGGGCTAATCGATGGAAGCAAGAAATTGGTGGGGTAGTGGGGGCTGAGATGAAAATGGAGGACAGCGTCGATACTCTGAAGTTGAATCCTGAAAGTTATGAAGTGTTTAAGTGGAAGATGAGGTGCTTTTCCTCCAGCTTGCACTGGGCTTTGGAAGATTACAGCAGATATGATGGAAATGTTTGTAACTAAGCAGTTCTACTTCCAAATAATTCATGACATTAAGAGGCTTGGTAATGTGGCACTGTAAATACTGGGTTTCTCTTTAGAACAATGGTGTTCTCCCTGGTCCTGGTTGATTATTATTCTTCAGATAATCTAATTTATCATGTTGAAGTTTATGGATGCTTTCTGCAAACAGATTGGTTGTTGCACTGAAATGGTTAACACTACTTGAATGACGATAGTAAAACTAAGAGTTGCCACAGCTGGAGATCTGAAACAAACAAATAGCTGGAGAAATTCTGATGGCATCAATGGGGAGGAAACAGTTACCATTTCAAGTCTGGTGACTCCCATCAGAACTGAATGATGTGACTCTTCATCAGAGCACTGGACTTGAAATGGAAACTGTTTTCTCTCCACAGATACTAACCAGCCTGCTGAGTTTCTCAAGCAGTTTTTGTTTTTGATTATAAAGTGTTTTGGGATATTGAGGTCATGAAATGTTCTACAGTGATGTAAATCTCTAACGTAACAAAGCAAACCTTTTGTTAGCATTGAACTGATGCTTAGAGATGAAAATGAAATTTTCTACCTGTTTTAATCATAAATGTCATTTTCCTACAGTTGCCCTCCTTTCACCACATGATAATACTTTAAATGCGTTGAAATTCGGGTATGTTCACAGAATCACAATTATAGAATGGTTAAAGCATAAAAGGCTATTTGGCTTGCAGTGTCTGTGCCAGTTCCCTGAGCAATATGTTCAGGTGTCATTCCAATTTTATTCCCTCAATCCTGTACACTTCTTTTGCATATAATCAAATTCCTTTTCCAGTGCCTCGATTGACTCTGCTGTCTCCACTTCTAGGCAGCACATTCCAGGCCTTGAGCAGGAAGGCTGACGTTTCAGGCCGAGACCCTTCATCAGAAATGGGGGAGGGGAAGGGGGTTCTGAAATAAATAGGGACAGAGGGGGAGGCGGATAGAAGATGGATAGAGGAGAAGATAGGTGGAGAGGAAACAGACAGGTCGAAGAGGTGGGGATGGAGCCAGTAAAGGTGAGTGGAGGTAGGGAGGGGATAGGTCAGTCCAGGCAGGACGGACAGGTCAAGGGGGCGGGATGAGGTTAGTAGGTAGGAAATGGGGGTGCAGCTTGAGGTGGGAGGAAGAACAGGTTAGGGAGGCGGGAACGAGCTGGGCTGGTTTTGGGATGCGGTAGGGGGGAGAGGAGATTTTGAAGCTTGTGAAATCCACATTGATACCATTGGGCTGCAGGGTTCCCAAGCGGAATATGAGTTGCTGTTCCTGCAACCTTCAGGTGGCATCGTTGTGGCACTGCAGGAGGCCCAGGATGGACATGTCGTCTGAGGAATGGGAGGGGGAGTTGAAATGGTTTGCGACTGGGAGGTGCAGTTGTTTATTGCGAAGCAAGCGTAGGTGTCCTGCAAAGCGGTCCCCGAGTCTCCACTTGGTTTCCCCGATGTAGAGGAAGCCACACCGGGTACAGCGGATGCAGTATACCACATTGGCAGATGTGCAGGTGAACATCTGCTTGATGTGGAAAGTCTTCTTGGGGCCTGGGACGGGGGTGAGGGAGGAGGTGTGGGGGCAGGTGTAGCACTTCCTGCGGTTGCAGGGAAAAGTGCCGGGTGTGGTGGAGTTGGAGGGGAGTGTGGAACGGACAAGGGAGTCACGGAGAGAGTTGTCCCTCCGGAAAGCAGATAAGGGTGGGGAGGGAAAGATGTCTTTGGTGGTGGGGTCGGATTGCAGATGGCGGAAGTGTCGGAGGATGATGCGTTGGATCCGGAGGTTGGTGGGGTGGTACGTGAGGACGAGGGGGATTCTTTTTTGGTTTTTATTGCGTGGACGGGGTGTGAGGGATGAGGTGCGGGAGATGTGGGAGACACGGTTGAGGGCGTTCTTGACCACCGAGGAGGGGAAGTTACGGTCCTTGAAAAACGAGGACAACTGAGATGTACGGGAGTGGAATGCCTCATCCTGGGAGCAGATGCGGCGGAGGCGAAGGAATTGGGAATAGGGGATAGCATTTTTGCAGGAAGGTGGGTGGGAGGAGGAGTATTCTAGGTAGCTGTGGGAGTCGGTGGGCTTGAAATGAATATCGGTTTCTAGGTGGTTGCCCGATATGGAGACAGAGGTCCAGGAAGGGGAGAGAGGTGTTAGAGATGGTCCAGGTAAACTTAAGGTTGGGGTGGAAGGTGTTAGTGAAGTGTATGAACTGTTCGAGCTCCTCGTGGGAGCACGAGGCGGCGCCGATACAGTCATCAATGTAACGGAGGAAGAGGTGGGGTTTAGGGCCGGTGTAGGTACGGAAGAGGGATTGTTCCACGTGACCTACAAAGAGGCAGGCGTAGCTTGGGCCCATGCGGGTACCCATGGCTACCCCCTTTGTCTGTAGGAAGTGGGAGGAATTGAAAGAGAAGTTGTTGAGTGTGAGGACGAGTTCGGCTAAACGGATGAGGGTATCAGTGGAGGGGGACTGGTCGGGCCTGCGGGACAGGAAGAAGCGGAGGGCCTTAAGGCAACCGCAGGAAGTGCTACACCTGCCCCCACACCACCTCCCTCACCCCCATCCCAGGCCCCAAGAAGACTTTCCACATCAAGCAGATGTTCACCTGCACATCTGCCAATGTGGTATACTGCATCCGCTGTACCTGGTGTGGCTTCCTCTACATCAGGGAAACCAAGTGGAGACTCGGGGACCGCTTTGCAGAACACCTACGCTTGCTTCGCAATAAACAACTGCACCTCCCAGTCGCAAACCATTTCAACTCCCCCTCCCATTCCTCAGACGACATGTCCATCCTGGGCCTCCTGCAGTGCCACAACGATGCCACCCGAAGGTTGCAGGAACAGCAACTCATATTCCGCTTGGGAACCCTGCAGCCCAATGGTATCAATGTGGATTTCACAAGTTTCAAAATCTCCCCTCCCCCCACCGCATCCCAAAACCAGTCCAGCTCGTCCCTGCCTCCCTAACCTGTTCTTCCTCCCACCTATCCCCTCCTCCCACCTCAAGCCGCACTTCCATCTCCTACCGACCAACCTCATCCCGCCCCCTTGACCTGTCCGTCCTCCCTGGACTGACCTATCCCCTTCCTAACTCCCTACCTACACTCACCTTTCCTGGCCCCATCCCCGCCTCTTCGACCTGTTTGTTTCCTCTCCACCTATCCTCTCCTCTATCCCTCTTCTATCCGCCTCCCACTCTCTCCCTATTTATTTCAAAACCCCCTTCCCCTCCCCCTTTTCTGATGAAGGGTCTAGGCCCGAAACGTCAGCCTCTCTGCTCCTATGATGCTGCTTGGCCTGCTGTGTTCATCCAGCCCTGCACCTTGTTGTCTCGGGGAGAAAATGGAGTTGAGATAGGTGGAGATAAGTTCGGTGGGGCAGGAGCAGGCGGACACAATGGGTCGACCAGGGCAGTCAGATTTGTGGATTTTCGGAAGGAGATAGAAGTGGGCGGTGCAGGGTTGGGGAACAATGAGGTTGGAGGCCGTGGGTGGGAAGTCATCTGAGGTGATGAGGTTGTGGATGGTTTGGGAGATGATGGTTTGATGCTCGGGAGTGGGGTCATGATCAAGGGGGCGGTAGGAGGTGGTGTCGGAGAGTTGGCGTCTGGCCTCGACTTTGTAGAGGTCAGTGCGCCATACTACAACTGCGCCTCCCTTGTACCTTATAGTGAGGTTGGGATTGGAGCGGAGGGCTACACGTTCTGCAGGGGAGAGGTTGGAGTGGGTGAGAGGGGTGGAAATCTTCAAAGCTTCAAAATCTCCCCTCCCCCTACCGCATCCCAAAACCAGCCCAGCTCATCCCCGCCTCTCTAACCTGTTCTTCCTCCCACCTATCCCCTCCTCCCATCTCAAGCCGCACCCTATTTCCTACCTCTTAACCTCATCCCGCTCCCTTGACCTGTCCGTCCTCCCTGGACTGACCTATCTCCTCCCTACCTCCCCACCTACACTCACCTTTACTGGCTCCATCCCCGCCTCTTTGACCTGTCTGTTTCCTCTCCACCTATCTTCTCTATCCATCTTCTATCTGCCTCCCCATCTCTCCCTATTTATTTCAGAACCCCCTTCCCCTCCCCCATTTCTGATGAAGGGTCTAGGCCTGAAACGTCAGCCTTACTGCTCCTATGATGCTGCTTGGCCTGCTGTGTTCATCCAGCTCTGCACCTTGTTGTCTGAGATTTTCCAGCATCTGCAGTTCCTACTATCTCTAATGCACTCCAGGTCTTAACCACTTGCTCTGTGAAAAGGTTTCTGTCCATGTCTGTCTTGCTGCTTTTGCATATTACCATAAATCTGCATCCTATTGTTTTTGATCTTCCCATCAGTGGGAACACGTTTCTCCACCTACTCTGTCCAAACTCCACATACGTAACATGTCAGTCTGAATCTCATCTTAATTGTTCCTTAGAATCATGGAATCTTGAGTGCTGTCATAGGCCATTTGGCCCATCAAGTCTGCACTGACCCTTTGAACAGCATCCCACCATATCCCCATAATCCCACGTTTATCATAGTTAACACATCTAGCCTGCACACCTCTGGATACTACAGGGCGGTTTAGCATGGCCAATCCAACTAACCTGCAAATTTTTTGATCATGGGTAGAAACCATGCAGACATGGGAAGAACATGGAACCTCCACACAGACAGTCGCTCAAGGCTGGCATCACTGAAAAATTAACCACTTTGCCATGCAAGGAAAGCAATCTTCTTCCTTCTTCAAGGAGAGCAGTTCCAACTTCTCCAGTTTATCTACATAACTGAACTTCCTCAGCTCTGGAAGTATTCTCATATATTGTTTCTGAACGTTCTCTCATCCCTTTGCTTCTTCCTGAAAATTTGGTGCCCAGAACTGGACAAAGTTCCAGTTAGCTCTTTGTGGCCTTTGTGCTTTTCCCTAAAAGGAATCTAGGTTTCAGCTCTTCACATCAGCGTTGCAAAATGATTCATTCATTGGGTCATATTTGAAAGTGGGTTAATTGGAGTCCAGATTATGACATCAGTAAGTTTTGAGAAATGTCCTTTTGACTGAGGGTTGTCATGGGAATGAACATCTAACAAGAAAGGGATAAATAGGAAGCTCATTTTGGTGGTGTGGGGTTAGCCTGTTTGTTTTTTTTTGAAAGTTAACAGGACTGAGAATTCATGGAAAGAAAAATAAGCATGGCTTTCTCCCAATGGAACTTTTCTTTTCGGCACAAATCGAGCAGATCCTGATGTTATGCAGGTCTCGGAGCAGAGCAGAGACTGTTAATTTGTTACTTTGTGTTATACATTTGGAAAGGACTGGACACTGAAGGTGGGGAAAATGAGAGATCATGGATTGGACAATACCCAGTGCTGCTGTTGTGTTCCAGTGCTCACCGGACCATTTAAAGGTGTCGGAGGAGTGAGTCTTTTCGGATTCTGCACCGTTTGAACAATTGTGACTGGAGTGAAGTGATTCTTATAGATGTGCTTCATCGGTGATTATCCTATCTGGGATCTTCACATGAGTGGCTGCTGTTTTTGATTGTTACTCAAGCTGGAATGACTGAATGGGAAGTGAGAAATTTTACAAAACTAAGGCTGAGTTGTAAAGACTGGGAGATTACACGTGATGTCACGGTTGTACAGGAAACAATGAGTGCTTGAAACGAAGTGAGGCATATCTTTGGATTGATTACTTAATATCTTTCGCTTGTGAATAGATGTTTGAGGTACGTTGATTTTTAGTTGATTTGTTTCAGTAATTTTAAATAAAAACCTGTCCAACTGTTTTCTTTTTATTGGTGTCATAAGGATTCCTTAAATTATCGGATTCCATAGGGATTATAATGAAGGCTAGCAGGTGTGTTCTGATACAATGGAAATAGGAAAGAAAAGTGCAATTTTTTAACCAGCCTCTGGATTTTTTAATTAATCGTTTCATCTATAATTTCTAGCTCTAACAGTGCAATAATTTAACTTTCTTCCACTCACTGCTGTGCTTAATCACCTATAATCCAGAAATCAGAACTCTTATTATGGATTGTCACAAACCATGTTTTCCTCCTATACCACTATCCCAGCAGTGCCCTTTTTACAACTGGAATTAAGAGAACAGGGATAAAATAATTTGTTACTGTGAATAGAAGAACCATTTGGGATTCCACACTGTGTAGATGGAGGAAATTGCAACTCAGCTGGATTTGTTACTGGTTTATGATTAACTTGAAATGATAGCCAGCTGAAAGGAGTAGGTAGGTTGTGCATTTAAGAGCATATGAAATTTCAAGAATAGACCACTGAAAGCCCTGAGAATGTACAAAATTAAGAGAATAGGTCATTTGGTCCTAACCCTGCTCCAACATCCAATAAAATCATGGCTGATCTGATTGTGGCCTTATTCCACTTTGTTCTTCGCGAATCATAGACTAAAGATCTGTCTAATTCAGTTTTGAATATATTCAGTGACCCAGCCTGCTCTGCTGTAGGGTTTTGATGATTCCAAGGATTAAACGACACTGACAGAAAAATTCATCTCCTCTTTGCATTGAATGGACAAGACCTTACTCTGAAGCTCTGCATCTTAGTCACAGATTCCTCTTGATGGGAAACATTCTCGAGCATCTACTGTGTCAATATCCCTTGCAATCTTGTATATTTCAATGCCAGCTCCTGATGCTGCTAAAGTCCCATGGGTACAGGCCCACCATCCTCAACCATTCCTTACAAAACAACCCCTTTATCCCAGGAATCAATCTAGTTTATCATCTCTGAACTTACCTGCAATGTAATTATTACTCAAACAGGGAGACCAAAACTGTACTTGATCTTCTAGGTGTCTCACTAATCCTGTACAGTTGTGTAAGCCTTCCTATTCTTGTATTCCATTCCCTGGCAATAAATGCCGATATTGTATTTTCGTTACTACTTAGTCTGTTTAAATTTTAAACCATGGCCATGCCCTGGTTTTAGAATCAAAGGCCTAGCTGTTAATTGCCAATCAGCGTTAATGGGTGCATTCTCCATGGCAGCACTTCTACTAATTGGGCTCCATTTGCTGACCAATCAGCATTCTCCTCTCATGCAATGTAAATTCCCCCCTTGAACTGGTATTCTTGTGAATTGTCCTGATGAATACAAGATACAAAGCTTTAGGTTTTTTTAGCAATTCTTGGAAGTTCTGAACTACCAAACAGCTGTTAATTTATTCCTAGTTATTCCTAGTTGTATGAACTCTTGTGTGCTATCCTTTGCATATTGCCTTATCAAATGCCTCATTTCCACATTGCCTGTTACTCTTATAAGTTTCCACTGCTTGCTGTTTTCAGCCTCAGCAGTTTTGCATAGATGGAACACTGAAGATAGTGAGCACATAGGTCTACAGTCACTTTACCATTTAATGTACCAAATTGGGTAAGCTTGGGATCCCAAGGGCACTGGTTAGCCGTATTTTGTTGTGGGTGCCATGGCCAACCATCTCTTTCTACTTGTCTTTCAAGAGCAAAATAGTAATTAATTATGATGTCAACCAATGATTCTCTCAGATTTGGATCTCAACGTTGTATAGATATCATTTAAGAAAACTATGAACTGCTGGGGGTTGAGCCAACTGAACTGGCTTTTGTGTGTCTCTTCCTAGCCAGAAATATCCGTTGTGTGGTAACACTCTAACTTTTCAGTTGGAAGGTTTTTTGTGGTTCTAGAACCCCTAAGTTTGATATCGTGCTTGTAGACAGTGAATTTCTACCTTAAGGAAGGTAAAAATGGAATCATGAAGTGTAAAACGGTGAATGAAGTATGACAAATTTATGCATACACAGATTTATGACTGGATGCATAGAGATTTGCTACTGAAGCTTTTCTGCTTAGACTCATCAGGTCAGATGTAAGAATGTCATATTTCAAAAGGAGCAATAGTTTATCTTGCGTGAGAGAAAAATGCTGATTGATCAGCATGTTGTCTGAGTCAAGGTGTGGCCTTTTCTCTGCATTATTGCTCTTTTTGAAATAAGGCATTCTTGTGTCGATATTGATCAGTGCAAGGCGAAAAGCTTCAAGACTTTTCTTTTTCAAAGCAATATTCAAGTTTTATATGTGCTTACTCATATCTGTATTTTCCCAGCTATTATGGGGGTTAGGGCAGAGCAATTATTCAGTCTTTATTTAAAAACCCAACATTACAGACCTAACCTTTGTATTCATTTTTAAGCTTTCCAGATGTTGTAACCATTTGACTTAAAAGATTCCAGCTGTGTTTTTCCAAATTGGATTTAGGGCTGTTTGTTATTTGGTACTTATTAGAGTCATCCAGCGTAAAACACAGTTCAATTTGCCACCAAATTGAGTTAGAATTCTAGTGCGGTACTTGTATTTTCTCCTTTACCCGCTTCCCAAAAACACTAGTGTTGGCTGTGGTTGCTCTGACAGTCAAATGTTGGTAGCTGCTATGCAACTACACGAAATGTTTGAACGATCTCTGCACTTCCTTCCTACAGGACCAGAGATGAAACAAATCGAAGTTACTGGGCCAGTGATTCGACCTCCAGAGCATGGCACACAGCCTTCCCCTCAGGACAAGGACAAACAGAAACAACAAAAACCCAAAACTCCTGTTGCTCCCAAAAAAGTGAGTTTGTTCATACGTTTGCTGGTGTGCTGCTGGCCTTCTCTCTCCTGCCTGCCTCCCTTTTTACTTTTGTCTTGCTTCCTCTCTCCATGCCCCAAAAATTGGTTAAGCAAATGATAGCTGCTTGGTTGTTCTTCATGTGCATAAGCCAAAACTTCTCAGCAAGGTGCTGTCAATAGCAAACAGAATCTTGTTTTTCTATTTCCTTTCCTTACCCAGGAGCTAAGAGTCTGATCACATTCTCCAAATAGCTTGCAGCATGGACTAAATCATGGGACTTTGTAATTTATAATGGCATTATACTAGGGTGCCTTATATCCCTTGGATCATTATGATGCTTTAATTTATTTGCTGCTATGCAGTTTCTTTCATTGTTTGTCTTCCTTCATTTTAGCTGCTTCTGCTCCCGCTCCCGAGTTGTCTTTAAACCCGTTAACTCGTGAATGAAATGCTTAACCGTTCGTTGTTTTCATTCATTCGGAGTATGAGGGCATTGCTGGCTGGACCAGCATTTATTGCCCATCCTTAATTGCCCAGAGGGCAGTCGAGTCAAACAAATTGATGTGGATCTGGAGCCACATGTAGACCAGACCAGATCAGGATGGCAGATTTCCTTCCCTACAGAATCTTTTTGAACCAGATAGGTTTTTCCTGACAATTGACAATGGATTCTTGGTCATATCAGGCTCTTAATTCCAGATATTTAAATTTGTTCAATAAGTAGATCATTCAATCCATTAAGTCTTCTCTACCATTCAGTGTGATCATGGCTGATTTGATAATCCTCAACCCCACTTCCTGCTTTTCCCTCAACTCTTGATTCCCTTACAATTAAAAATCTCTCGGTCTCGTTCCTGAGTATTTTTAATGAAAACTTGGTGATAGGTTCACCTGAGTCATTAATACATACTGTTAATGATTGTGACTCCAGTGACGCTTCACTAAGTGCAGGTTTCCATCCTAAGAATGGCTCCTTTACCCCAACACCATGGGCTCTTAGCTTAAGTAGTCTTATGTGCAGGATCTATATCAAGTGCCTTTTGGAAATCCAAATATATTATCTACTGGTTCCCCTTTATATCTTGTACTTCTTACCACCTCAAAGAATTCTAATATATTTGTCAGGCATGATTTCGGGAATGATTTCCATTATGAAGCCATGCTGATTCTTCTTGATCATATTACATATTTCTAAGTGCTCTGCTGTTACATCCTTTGACATGGAGGTGCTGGTGTTGGACTGGGGTGGACAATGTCAGAAATCACACACACCAGGTTATAGTCCAGCAGCTTTGTTTGAAAGCACCAAGCTTTTGGAGTCTCACTCCTCTTTCAGCTGTTAGTTAGTGAGGTGGCATCAAACACAGAATTTATAAGTAAAAGATCAAAGGATCATACAACCGATGATGTATTAAACAAACCTAAGATGCTGTTAAATCTAATCAGTTAGATTTTAATTGATTAATATGTATATGTAGATCCCCAAATTTGTATTTGCAGATACATTTTTTGTTCAAAAAGCACACCATTTACAGACAGTCAGTCAATGTGGCATTTTATAAATTCCTATATTAGAAATAAAACCAGTCTGACTCCAAACCAAAACACAGATTCTAAACAAGGCCTCACACCTCACATGCATTGTCTGACCTAAAATGTCAACTCTTCTTTGCACTGATAAAATCTTTAGTTCTCTCAGGGCAGTGACTTTAAAGAAATTTGAGGATTTACATATACATATTAATCAAAACCTGACTGATTAAAGATTTAATAGCATCTTGGGTTTGTTTAATACATCCTCATTAGTTGTGTGATCCTTTGACCTTTTATTTACAAATTGTGTCTGATGCCACCTCTCTCACTAACACCTGAAGAAGGAGCAAGGCTCTGAAAGCTTGTGTTTTCAAATAAACCTGTTGGATTATAACCTGGGGTTGTATGATTTCTGACCTATTACATCCTCCATAATAGACTCCTAACATTTTCCCAATAACCCATGTCATGCTAGCTGGTCTGTAGTTACCTGGTAAGAACCAAAAGAACTGTGGGTGCTGTAAATCAAACAAAAACAGAAATTGCTTTAAAAGCTCAGCAGGTCTGGCAGCATCTGTAAAGAGAAATAAGAATTTGTTTTTGGTCCAGTGACTCTTCCTCAGACCTGAGTTTTTCTATAGTATCTAGGTTTTGTTTGTCTTTTTGAACAAGACTGTTACATGTAAGGATCCTCTGGGACTTGCCAGGATCTAAGGGTTCTTGGAGGATTATTACCAATATATCCACTATCTACTTAATCCTCTAATGTCCTTTGGATGCAACCCATGTGATCTGGGAGACTTACTGGTCTTTAGATACATTGGTTTTCCTAGTTCTTTTTCTCTCATTTAGTAATGTTTATTTTCTTTCTCCCCCATCCTGCTCTGTTTTACCCCTTACTTAGTTAGAATGATATTTGTGTCCTCTATAATGAAGACTAAGTATTTAACTCCTCTGCCATTTCCTGGTTCCCCATTATTATTTCCCTAGCCTCATCCTTTAAGGGGCTTATGATCACATTGTCTCTCTGTTCCTTTTTTAGATACTTAAAGAAGCTCTTGCTTTCCATTTCTTTGTTCGCTGCTATTGTTTCCTTTTTAGGCCACCTTTTGGCTTTGATAATTTTCCCAGTCTCTGGCCTACAATGTGGCAAAAATTAATTCCATGGTTTTTTTTTTAAATTTTATACTGTCCTTGTCTTCCTTTGGTTAACCATGATTGGTTTATCCCTTTGCTAGAAACCTAAGCCATGAGCTATTTTAAATGTCTGCTAATTTTCATCAACTATTGTTTCTGCTGAACTCCTTTCTCAGTCCACTCTAGCCCACACAGTTGTCATCTCCTCTTAATTATGCTCTGCAATAACTGAGGTAATGATCATTAACCTCTGTCTATGTACACGGGCATTTCCCAATTTTTTTAGAATAAGTCTGCAAACATTGTTATATCCTACATTTTATTAAATTTCTTCCCTTTAGTATTTATAGTTCCTCATTACTGTTCAGTGCCTTTGAGTTATCAACACCTTGAACACTTATGTAGAGTTCTCTATTCTTTGTGGCCATGTGCTTTAGGATCTTAAGATCAAGAACATGGGCTCTTGGGCAAGTCTGGTCACAAAGGCTCCTTCTAATCCTTCCTCCACGGCAAAATCTTCGAGCGACAGCTTTGAGCAATTTCGGCGGGCAGCACGGGAGAAGGAGGAGAGAGAAAAGGCACTGAAAGCACAAGAGGAGTTCCGTAAAATGCAACAGGAGGCAGCTGAGAAAGAGCGTCTCCGAATGGAACAGGAGAGACAAAGGCAAGTCAAACTCTTTAGTTTAATAAAATTAGCAAACGTGCGTTAAGCTTTGGTTACATTGTCAAATATGAACAAAATTTCACATGTACAATGTGAAGCAAATGTGCCTACAATTGCCTGTAAATGCTTGCTTCCAATGTTTTCAGCACCCATGTTCCAACTGGTCACCCATAATTTATCTCCTCAGCACCTGCTAACACACTAATGGGTTGGTGAATCTTTCTGGAGAAATCTTTATTGATGCTGAGGACAGTCCCCATCTCGAGGAAGGAAGGTTTCTGGCTCACCAGCTTTCTTTCCTGCCTTGTGATATTAAGTGTGCAGTGATGGTTGTGCTGCCTCTTCAAGCCCAGTACTGACTTGCATTCCGTAGCAGAGGTTGCAGCCGGTGACTTGGAGTATGCTGTCTCAGATTTTCCTGTAAAAATAAGGATGAGGCTAATGTGCAAGATGTAGAGCAGCTTTAGGTAAGGTGTTGATACCTGGTTAAACTTATTTGAAGAGTCAATTGTCAAATGTGCCACTCTGCTGTTAGATTCATGCAAGTAGCATTGGGTTGTCTGCCTTGCCTTTAGAGTGGTGTGGAATTACGTCATTTGTGTGGTAGGTATGAACTTGTTGTGAAGTTGTCTTTGTTTCAGTTTTAAATGGTGATTTGGTCAAATAGTGCAAATCAACTTGCTTGACACTTGTATATAAAAGAAAACCTGTGTGGGTACAAATTCCTTCAGGATTCAATAGTTGGGAAATTATTAAAAAAAAAACTACTACTTTTTATTCATTTCAGTTGTCCCGTTAGTTTAGTCTCCCCTTCCTATTCGGAAAGAAAAATAGACAACTACTTCACTATTAATTGCTCTTTGCCATTAATTTCACTTCTTCTTCAATCTGGCTGGTTAAGGAGATTCCTTAGGCCCAAGTATCTTTACTTGCTTCATCAATGACCTTCCACCATCATAAGGCCAGAAGTGAGGATTTTTGCTCACAATTGTATATATGTTCAATGTTCCTTGCAACTCCTTTGATTCTTTTTGACCATATACAGCAAGATCTAGATAAGATCCAGGCTTGGACTGATCAGTGGCAAGTAGCTTTCCCACCACTGAAATGCAAGGCAATGACCATCTGTATCAAGAGAGAACATAACCATCTATAAATGGCATTACCATTGCTGAATTCCTAGACTGTCAATATCCTGGGATTCAGAGGGTTGGAAGTTTTGCAATATGACTCATCAAAGCTCAAATCAAGAGTGTGATAACATACTCTCCACTGGTCTGGATGAATTCGGCTCCCAAGAAGCTTGATACCATCTAGGACCAAGCCATTTTGATCACCACTCAACCCTTTACCTTGACATTCATTCCTCCCTTCACTGATACAGCATAATTGCAGTCTGTGCCATCTATAGATGCACTTCAGTATTTCATGCAGGATCCTACAGCACCATCTTCCGAGTACGTTTACTTCCTAAGACTCAGATGCACAGGAGCGCCACTACTCTATTCCCATCCAAACCACTCACCATCTTGACTTGGAACTATAATGCTGTTCCATCAGTGCTGGGTCAAAACTGTGGAATTCTATGCCTGATATCACTGGGTATACGTACACCATGTGGACTGTAGTGGATCAAAAAGGCAGCTTAGCAGCGTGGTCTGGTGGGCAGCAAATGTTGCCTGTTGTCCCTGGAAAGATTGAATTGGTTGTCATCTTTTCCCTACTGCCATTGAGCTTGCATTCTCAGTTGCCTACAACATGGCACATCTCACAGGTGAGTCCTGTTAGATTCACTACAACAGCAAATCTGAGGTTATTGTTTCTGTGATTAGTTGGGTATGTGTTAACGTGATGTCTGCAACTATTTTGACTAACAGTGAGATTTCAACAGCCCTGCCTCTACTTGGCTGGTTTTGACAGTGTTTTGCTTCTGACTGCAGAGGCCGAGACGAAGAGGATGCTTTAGAGTGTGCTCGGAGAGCTCATGAGGAGGCGAGAAGGCAGCAGCAGCAGCAGCAACAACAACAACAGCAGCAACAGCAACAACAGCAGCAGCAACAACAGAGCTCTCAGCCAACCTCTCAATCTATGCTGGATCAGCAGAGAGAGCTCGCAAGGAAGCGAGAGCAGGAACGAAGGCGGAAGGAAGCGGTACGTTTCTGTTGTGTTTCCCAAAGATCATCTTGACTCCATGTCGGAATCCGATTTGATTGTTACTAGTTTTGTATTTACTTAATCTCAAAAGTAGTGGTGATTGCTGTAACTGCAGTTGAGACTGGATATGCCTGAGCTAGGGGTTTGGATTAAGACTGGCCTGATTTTCTGCTGCTGATTTGTTATCTACTAACCCCTCCTCTGAAGTGCACAATTTGGACATGTGCAGATCTGAGTATTCAACTTTGGCATTTATTCCAATGCCAGTCAGTTTTTCAATAGCCACTGAACAGTCCCATTAACCACTGTGTGATTGTAATAGGTTTCCAGCTTTGTGAAATAATAACCTTGCGAGTATCATGAATGGTGAAATTATTTCTACAAAGGTGTATTTTTAAATTGGCCTGTGCTAACTCTCTGAAAATGCATTAAAATCTACATTTCAGCTTGGCCATTCAGTGCTTAAGATAGTTGTTTTAAATGACATATTAGTTCTAAAATACAAAAATGTAATCAAGTTGGAAGACTTTGACAACATAGCTGGGAAGGATGTGAAGTGATCCATCAAAATTGGGCCAAGTGCGAATTTCTTTCTTAGATTTAATAAGGGTTTATTCCATTTTCGCACCACTTCTACTTGCAGTGACTTCAAATTTATATTCTCTTTCTTTGTGGAAAAAATTACCACAACTTGTATGAATTCTTTCATTCACACATGGGATTAGTGTGTCGCTGGCTGGCATTTATTGCTCACCCCTAATTTCCCAGAGGGCAGTTAAGAGTCAACCACGTTGCTATGGGTCTGGAGTCAACTTTAGGCCAGATCAGGTAAGGATGGCAGTTTCCTTCCCTAAAGGACATTAATGAACCAGATGGGGTATTTTTCTGACAATCAACAATGGATTCATGGCCATTATTAACTCTTAATTCCAGGTATTTGTTGAATTAAAGTTCCACCCATCTGCCGTGGTGGGATTCGAACCCGGGTCCCCAGAATATTACCAGGGTCTCTGGATTAACAGTCCAGTGATAATACCACCAGGCCATTGCCTCCCTCAAAAACCCTTTTAGGATTGTTTTCACATGTTCTTGTTAGCACAGCCCATTGGATTATCCTGACAAACCCAAAACGCAGATTACTCAACTGCTTCATAGAATCCCTATGGTGTGAAAGCAGTCCATTTGGCCCATCAAGTCCACGCTGACTCAGAGTATCCCACCCAAACCCGACCGACCTAACCCTACCACATTACCTTGCTTTTTCCCATGGCTGATCCACCTAACTGACACCCCCTTACACTTTGGGCATTTTAATATGACCGATCCACCTATGCTGCATGTTCAGAAGAAACCGGAGCACCCGGAGTAAACCCACACAGACACTGAGAATGTGCAAACTCCACACAGACACAGTTGCTGGAGACTGGAATCGAACTTGGGTCTCTAGTGCTGTGAAGCAGCAGAGCTCACCACTGAGCCACTGTGCTTCTACAGTTGGGGGAGACACAATTCGGACTACTTCATGCTGATTTTCTTTTTACTTTGTGCACGATTTTAAAAGTTGATCTAAGTAAGAGGCTAGGTATGACACCGCAGTGGGGGATTGATATGAGCTCTAAGGAGGATAGGTGTGAGGTTTTTTTATTGTATGGATGTGATAGTAATTCTCTTCCAATGAGTGACGCTTGGCTTGCCAGGGTTTATGCTTTCTATATACACTGAAATGGCTGGAAGTGCTTTTCTTTGAAACATTTTTCTTTGAAATGGTGAGGGTTCTTAATAATTTTGGCAACTAGTTAGATCAGTTAATCTTTTAGACTGACCAAGTTCTGCGTAAGGCACTATAGACTCTTTTTAATAGGTAAATGATACTTCAGTTTCATCATTAGTGGAAAGAGTTGGTCTTCCCTAGGTCTTGAAGTAATATTGTGTTGCTCAGAAAAGGGTTGTAGCTCAGGTTATTTTATTACAAAGTCCTTTTGACTACTTGTTATGAAACGATTCCCCTCTGCCTTGATGTGTCCTACACTGTTCTCTGCAGGCTTTTTCCATTGTGTTTTTGAATTTAGAAAAGCAGTCTGGAATAACCTTAACCCTGCTGCAGGTCTATACTGTATTAAACATTCTGAGCGAACACTGGGTGATCCTACTTATTCTTTGAGCCTGCTCCATGCCATTCATTGCAATCCATATATCTGACTTTAACCATATCCTTTAATACTTTCTTTGACAAAGATTGGCTTTAGTGTACCAATGCAGAGCGTCATTGTATGTAATTATGGAGAAAATCCTGCATTAAATTGCTAGGAATAAAATGAAACTGTGCAAACTAACATGTTGCATCCTTTCTTTTACTGTAATTTAGATGGCGGCTACAATTGACATGAATTTTCAGAGCGACTTAATGGCAATATTCGAAGAGAATCTCTTCTGAGGGCTCCTGATGCTGGATATCCTGACTCTTGAAAGTACTACGAAACTGTTTTCCATGAGTTACGTGGCACCGTAGTGTTTCAGCCAGGTTCTTGGTGCACGGTCTTTCTGCATGTGTGACCCAGTGAGTGAGCGAATCATTCAGTCAATGCCTTGAATGGATGGACGGACATGGATGGACAAAAGTCTGCCTTACATTTAACCCACAATATAGGAATGAACAAATAGACAAAACAAAACTTATCGATGTTGTGTAGAAAACACGTGCACAACTGTGCATCCAGCTTTCCGAATGATACTACTGTAAAGGGGGGGAGGGGGGGTTGTACCCATTAGCTGCAAGGCTGTCCTCGCCAAGCTCCTTCACTATGTAAGAAAAGACACCGTAACATTCTGATGTATCCAATCAAACAGGGTTTCACTGTTGCTGCGTGAGGGCCCTGTTTGCTAAACGGTTTCTCTGCGTTGGTTCTGTAAATCTAGTGAGTCTCCTTCACTGCTAATAAGAGGAGAAGAGGGTAATGACATAGTATATTTAAAAAAAAAACTGGTTGGGTGAATACCTCTGTAATTGGGAAAACCGGGCCCTTCACTAAGTCACAACAGTATAATCTGGATGGACTATTTAAGCAGTGCGACTTTGTGTTCATTACTTTTTTTATTTACAGTGCATAGTGCTGTCTGCAGATTTTGTTTATCTACAGAGTTTCCAGTTACTAGGCTCATTGTGTTCTGACAAGCCATGTGATGGTTATGACAATACAAAAAAGGGAAAAAATAATCGTATGTTGGAGGTTATGAGTTAAAACAGCAGTCCCATCAAAAAACTTTTTTTGTTTTAATTTCTTTTCTGCAGTGTTTGGGATCAAAGCTGGACTACCAACCAAAGTAGGTGAAATTGTTTGTCTCGTTACCTCAGGAGATACGAATGTTGAATGGCACTGCTGAAACTGTTTTGTACTGTTGTCCCTCTGAATAGTAGAGATACAAGAGCCGACTTTCTTTTCTGCAAGTAACCAGAGGTTTAAGCTGCCCTTGAATAGTGTTTGACCGATGCTGTATAGTGGGTATAATTGGTGTGACGCTTAAAACTTGTTAAATGTTTTCTGTAATTAAACACTTACTTTATTCATGTAGCAGACTTTCAGTACTCTTTGGAGGCCCAGGTGTAAGTTTTATCGTAAATGGTCGATTCTGGGCTTTCCTTTCTTTTTTCTTCAGAGGGGTGTACAAAATATACAAGCTGTTTCTGTGCAAGTGTCTCATTCGTATTTGCTAAAAGCATCAAGTGAAGTGCTGGCTCTCCTAGTTAACTCCACAGCAAGAATTAGACGAGTGATTGTTTTATTATTATATGGCAAGATTTAAATTAATGTACCATTCCTCGTCTTTGCCTTTAAATATAATTTTATTTTTTCAGCTGTTTTTAACCTTTTTTCCTTTTTTAAAATGAACATTTTAATGTGCCAAAATACCCACTATACAGTACCAGCAGATCCAGTGTTGGCAAGTACCTCGGTTTAGAATCGGTTTTACTGAAAGGCAGAAAAATTGCATTTGGTCTGTATCAATTAATGAATAAACACACCTTTTATACAATACGCTGGCGTCTTATTTTTTAGACCAGAGATGGTTTCCAATGGTGTTCTTTTAATTGTCACTGTTTTTGAGTGTGCACTGATGGTTGCTCATCATAATGATGATGCATCTTGAAGGCAAGAATACATTATTTTCCCTTACCTAAAATTTGGCCTGTACACAATGCCTGTGAATAGTCAGTATTTCTGTCACTGGCCACACACCTTTTATGGCTTGCAGACAGTTGCTTGGAGTAGCTTGACAGGATGAACAAAATGCTTGTTTGGACAATGCAATAACATGGCAAACCGAAAGATTTAAACGATGATGGGTCCAGCAATACTTTCAAATGTAATCTATTTGTTTTATTCATGGCATTTCTCTGCCTTCCAACACAAAATATAGTGTCAATGCAACTGTACTAAACTGCATATATATTTTTCTATTGGAATCTTCCTCTGAGAACTCCTGTGGATATGAGGACAAAGATGCACATTTTCAAATGGCCTGCTCCAGATAATACTGTCTATTGTATCCAGACACAAGATTATGAAATGTGTGCAAATGAATGTTTATTGGAGTGCAAGAGTTTAGAATTGGCTTTTGATTACTCTAGTGAAGAGTTTGATAGTTGTAATGGGCTGAGTGGTCTTATCTTATGAACTGTGGTTCAGTGGATTCTCTGCCAGTTAACAAAGTCATAACCATTGAGTGAAATGAAAGCTTGCCTTGTGTTTTAATTTTGGGGGGAAAATGGCTGTTTACAGAAGCGCTATGGTTGTATGTTATCCAGTTGAAGGAAGTGGTGTTAACTGGTGAAGGAACCAAAGACCCCTAAAATATGTTGACAAATTATAATTGCTGCAATCTGTTTTAGTCTCCAAGCACCCAATTTGATGATTTATTCCTCCATAAATATATTATGGAGTACCTTTTAAGCAAAAAGAAGGCAACACGTTCAAAAATTTGTTTAACTATGTTCTTATTGGATAGTTGAATTTAAAGGTAGTTGAATTTGAAATAGAGAACTGATTCTCAAAAGATCTGCATTTTGTTGCTCCTGCAAACAAGGCACCTACTTAAATTGCTTCTTGTAATTTTTATTGTTCAAGTATTTCAGACTGTTTTGGTCACGGGCAGCACTGCAATAAAAATTATTTTATTTCCTTAAATGGTCTCCAGCAGCAAAATTAATGTGCTCTTGAAAGAAAATAAACCTTTTTAATCTTAGCTTAAACTTAGGTTAATATATCAGTTCTACAACACTTTTATATTTGGGAAGTTCTGAGTGGGTTTCTTTCTTGGAAGTGTGTTAATGTAAAATCATGAACCCTTCAGTGGAAATAGCTTTTCTTTGTTCATATTTAAAAAAAAACCTTCCTTAATTTTAAATGTCTCAAATTTCCCCTTGACCTCTGCTCTCAGGAAAAAAAAATCCCAGTCTCTCCCCCACACTTGTATTGTTTGTCTTTTTATTCAGCATTGAAATTTTATAAAACTCAACTGAGATGTGTTAGATATGCATAATTTGGAGGCTTTGTTTGAGGTGAAGGGGTTGGAGCATCTTTGTCCCAAGGGACAACACCGCTAATGACTACACAAATGTGTTGCCACTTTAAGAATTTAGGAAATGCTTTTCACCCTTGAGTTTACGTATACTTATCAATGCTGCGGTTCTTTTGAAGCAATAAAAAAAACTACGCTTTTTAACACTGTTGAGTGGCTGGTCATCTAGGAGCTACTGCCAGTGTTTTCCAAACTTTGATGTTGTGTTTTGGATCCTTCCTTAAAATATAACTATTACGGTACACTTGTATTAGCAATGTATGCAGCTTGGAGTTTAACTTGTAAGGTGGAAAAATTTCAGTAAACCAGAGAAATTCTTCATTTTTGAAACTGAGCATCCAATATTTAATTCATGTACTTTTTTTTAGAAAAGTCATTCCTCATTAAGCCACTATTCCTAACCACCACACCTTTTTCCTTCAGGCGAATAGTGGACTTTCACTTGAAGTACTGTTAAGTATGAAGTTGACAATGTGTTCTATTTGTGTGAAATAGGATTTATGTTGATATTTAACTGCTTAGCCAACATAAAAATATGCAGTTCGTCCAAAGCAACCAAGCCAAATACTGACACTATTCAATTATTGAAACTACTTGAGCCTAAATGTTGGCCATCTGAGAGATTTCTGCACAGGTTTGCTGAAGTTTGACTTCATAGTGTTCACTAACTTAGTAAAAATTCAGAAGTGACATTTTCCTTTTGGTTTTAACTAGTTTGTACGATTTTGTCAATGGTGACTTAACATTTTCCAATAGCTGTGCGTGATCATCAGCATTCGCTCAAAAGCAGACTTGCTATCAAAAGTGCTTATTAAGCATTCATTGAGTGGAGATTTGTGCTGGTCTGTTGATTGCTTTGCCTAATTAGTGGTTAAGCCTTAAAATAGAACAAAGTCTAATGATATTTGTATCTGGAGATTCGTATACATGAATAAAATATTTTGTTACACCTTTGTTAATGGTCTGCCAGGCACTTTAAACACGCAATGAAGACCAGCGACTTGAACTTTGCTGCATTGGAAGGTACCCCAAAGTTCTGTCTGATCATTGATTAGAACTCCAATTGGTTTATATGGTTCTAATATTTTATTAAATGTATGAGTTCTACCTTACTGTAGAAAACTCCTTCCTACACTGTGCTTGCAGTGCGTTCATCTGTTGCACCTTTTTGATCTGCTATTAGTTGACACTGCCGTGGAGAATGAGGACTTGTGTTGCACTCATCTTTTGAGCAGCAGTTGTGAAAATAGTCAAAAGGCAGTTTTTTTTTGGACTACAGGCAACAAGCTTGCAGTTTATTTCATTTTGAAGTGGCTTCAGCCCTTACCAAAGCTACCCAATTCTGTCCTAAGTATTCTGGGAGCTTGGTTTTTAAAAATAAAAATCCTGCCTACTCTTTGTTTAACCAATTATTGCCAAAATTTAGATGCTTTTTGTATTGAAGCTGAATATTTTTGATTTTATAAACCTATTTTGCTTTTTCAAAGATGTAATAACTAAAAATGGCTAGTAATCGCACAATGTTTTAATGCGTGATCAGTAGTAATTGACTTATTCTTCCAACACAGAAAAATTACATTTCACCAGTCCAGGTTGCCAGAAAATAAATATTCTTTGACCCTCTGGCTTAACTGTGTGTGTTAAAGGCACATACATAGTCATTGCTAAATGTCCATCCTTAACGGTCATTTCTTCAGTATACAGAATTTAAAACCACTTGCTAAGGAAGGAATTCATTTTGAGTATAACACTGTGTCATTGTGTTTCATAATGAAATGTAACAACATCAAAGTCTGGAAACCACTTCCAATTACATTGCCACTTCATTCACAACATCCTCGACAATTTTGGACAGAAGAAAACTATCTGATTTTGGGGTGCTTCTGAGCAGAAATTGCGAATATTGCCATTAATCACGCAGTGACAATTGAGAATTCTGGGGAAATCAGTAAGCTAGCACTCATCTGTAGGAGATCAGTGCACTCTGTGCAGTAAGTACTTTGCACATATTGGTATTGATACAATATGTTTTTGAACTAATCAGCTCTGCACCATAGACACAGGATTGCAAATGTTTGAAACAAATGGCGACAATATTTGGGTTGTGGCAGGGGGAAAAACAATATGTACATTAAATTTATGTAAGCAAAGAACAAAATATTTGGTAAAACATGGAAATAGATTTTACATTGGTTTTAGACTGTCTTCTAACTTTGCTAAATATTACTCATTGTTTATTGACATTTTGGTCAGACAGGTGATGTATTCATTCTGTTCTAATACACAAGACTTGCTGTACACAAATGTTTACAGTTTGTATTCCAGTCCATCATTTTTCCATTTTTTTTGTATTTGGTTCCTCAGTTCTTGTGTGAATTCTGCCCGCACCCTCCCCACACTTGGAAGAGAGATAAAATTAATTGTTCAATGATATGCAATAGTTTTGTTTTTAAATACATGCCAGAGATATTTACAGTCCTTTCCTTGAGTTTGTGCGCTCTACACACACAATACATTTTTACATTATTTAATGTTTGTGACAGTTTGGACTTGCAAGGATTGAAAGCATCTATGTGCTGTAAACTAGTAATTAGATAGTACAGTCAGCAATTTTTATGTAAAGCAAAATGACAATGTCACTCATGTACTCGAATGCACAAGTTCTCTAATTATGTTGAATATGAAAATGCCTGTATTAAACTCTTCAGATTTGTAGAAAGAAATTGCTAGATTTTTCCACTTGAATTACTACGTTTTTTTGTGCAGTTATTGTTGAAATAAACGTTTTTACTGAACATAGAATAAATGTAATTCCAGTTTGGAATAATGTGATTGAATTGTGCAACTGATGCAGAAATCATATAGAACCATGGCAGAGGCTAAGATTGGGATTATGGCAACCTCTTTGTGCAAATACATGCCAGCCTGCTTTCAAACTGTTAGCCGTAAAGCAGAAATTTATTGATTATTACTGTGTAATCATCAGTGCTTTTGGGGGGGGGAGCGTTGGTGTGGTATAGAGGGTTTGGTATAGTACATGCCCCTTGAATGAACAAAGAAAATCCACCTGAATACATTTATTTGCAGCAGTTACCATATCTTATATAAAAAGCATTGACAAAATTTCAACTTCTGTTTCCTGTCCAGCGTTGAACAATACAGCGATGTAAAACAGTCTTCATGATTTTCCAAAATGATTATTGCTATCATTTATCTTGGTGTGAATGAATAAAAATCTTTAGTGTAACCAAATTCTCCTGATGCTTACCCCCATTTAAAAAAAAATGAACTGAAGTCAAATGCAGTCTGATCCACCCATTATGGGGGCGGGGGGTGGGGGAGTGGAAAAGGACGCAAATGAGAGGTCAAATTCCAGTGGATGGAAAGATTATTGGTAAGAATTTAAGGCAACTGTTAGGTCAGGATATTGAACAAATTCTACTGCTTCTTCTGTT